TAGGAGGGCAGCCCTGACCCCTAGACACATACAAATCACCTGGACATTTGGGCCAAACCTCCTCTCTAGGTTTCCTTCAACAGAAGCTAGCTTAGTGGATGAAGGGTGGAAAAGGGTGGGGGCAGGGTGGAATGATGGTAGACTAAAGCTAGAAGCAATCTCAGAGGCCGCCCGGGTCCATTCTCTCTTATTGTACAGATGAGGAAGCTGAGGTCCCAGAACGCTAAATGACTTGCTCAGGAAGTAAACATCAAAGGCAGGATGTGGACCAAGGCCCTCCTACTCCAGACAAAGCTCTCTCAATTGTATTAACACTGCCGTATGCGTTTTTTTAGATGAGTCAGACAGCTGAGCTTAGGGGGTGTAGAGAAGAGCTGTTTTCTGAGCTCCCGTTCCAAATCTAGGGCATCTGAATTTCTCAGTGAGCAAGAAGGTCCCTATGAGGAATTAGAAAAGACAGCATAGGGCTGAGATTCTTTTTAACATTCATTTTTTAAAAATTTTGAGCCCCCAATTTTCTCTCTCCTTCCCTCACCTTCCTCCTCCCTGGGGCAGTAAGCAATTTAATATAGGTTATACTTGTTCAATCATGCAAAACATATTACCATGGCAGGGATTCTTAAACTTTCATCTCAGGACCCCTTTACACTCTGAAATAATTGAGGACCTTCCCCCAAAGGGCTTTTGATAATGTGTTATATCTATCGATATTAATGACCAATTAAGAACTAGTGTTGTTATAAAAAAATAATTTTGACCTCACAGATTCCATGAAATAGTCTCTGGGACCCCCAAGGCTTCCTGGACCACATTCTGAGAACTGCTGGAGCAAAGAAATAAAGTTCTGGCCTTGGAATCAATACACCCTGGGTTCAAATCCTTAACCTTCAGTATTTTTTAAACCTAGATCTGTGATTTCATTGCTGTAGGAAATTCCCTGTGAGGGCTTGATTAAAGCAGATCAACTCCTTTGGAATCTATGTCTTAGAGGTCAGTTGGGGGACAGACTGGTTAACCAGTAACCAGGACTTCCTCCCTCAGGCTAGTTCTCTAATCACTGTACCACATCACTCCTCTATCTCTCCTACTTCTTAGCTATGTCACCTTGAACATATCACATGCACTCTTGGAGTGTCATCTTCCTCACCTTTAAATGTGGACAACTGTACAAAGGGGCAGGCAGGTGGTGCAGTGGATAGAGTGCTGGGCCTGGAATCAGGAAGATTCATCTTCCTGAGTTCAAATCTGGCCTCAGATACTTACTAGTGTGACCCTGGGCAAGTCACTTAACCCTATATGCCTCAGTTTCCACATCTGTAAAATGAGCTGAAGGAGGAAATGACAAACCATTCCAATATCTATGCTAAGAAACCCCAAATGGATGTGACTAAAACAACTGAATGCCAACAATTGTACAAAAGTACCTCCTTCACAACGCTGTAGTGAGTATCAAATGAGATGATGGATGGAAAATATTTTGCAAATGTTTTGCAAAGTGCTATGTAAATGCCAATTATTAAAGTGTTTTTGGCATGTACTTCATTTTCTTAATGGATCAATCGTTCATGTCACGATTATAAATTCCCTGAAAAATAAAAGGAGAGGGATTGGAAGGAAAATTATGATTGGAAAAAGACAGAGATACATCTCCTCCTACTCCCAAATACAGCCCTTTCTCCAATGTTAGTTTTTGCACTGGGCCTTGGAAGCGACTCAGTGCATTGCAGGGCCAAAATGATGACATTTGGAATTGGGGTCTATGACAGAGATGCCCCAGAGGAGTTCGTTATGTGTCTTGTAAAAAGAAAGGAAGGAGACCTGCTTCCATTAAAGTCCCACTCCAATCCCTCAAGCTCTGGCAGCCCTACCAGGCTGCAAAGGCATTGAGAATGGGGGTGGCATCAGACTGTGTCTGTTCTCTGGGGACCAGAATCATCATGTTCAAAGGGCATCCTCTTCCAGAGGAAGTTGTTTGTTTGTTTGTTTTGCCACTGCAGCTCATGAAGACCCAACGAATCACAGAGGTTGTGACTTGTGTTGGTAGAGGGAATACCTTTTTTTTTGGGGGGGGAAGCGTTCCAGTGATTTCACGGGCGTAGTGAATGTCCAAACCCCATGACCAATGCTGATTGGCACCTGCCCTATAATTTACGGTCTTAGAGAGTTGCCTGGGCCACTGAGAAGTTAAGTGACTTCCCTAGAGTCACACAGAATTGTCAGACCTGGGTTGGCTCTCAATCCACTACACCAAGATGGCCCTCATGATATCTCTATGACAGAATCCTCCTGATGTCATTGGTCCTCTTCCAGAACAAAAGAGAGACAATGGCAGAATCCTAGAACTTCTTAAACGTTGAAGAAGGGAGGAATCTGCAATGGCCAGAGAGAGACTTTGGTGCCAATCCTGCACACAGAAAACAAAGGAACAATGTGGTCTGCTGATTACCGTCCGTCCCTTAAGGGACGTCTCCTTCCACTGAAGTCTGCCAGGTTTCCTTTCACCATAGACATGAACCGTCCCCTCCACCCCCACCTCACATAGCCCTTGGTTGGCATCCTTCTAAATGCAGAATGTAGATCCACAGAATGCTAGAGTGTGAGGGCCCTTACATAGAATCCTAGATCTACGGCCAGCTGGGACTTTTATATATATATATATATATATATATATATACATATATATGTATATACATATATATATATATACATATATATATACATACATATATATATATACATACATATATATATACATATATATATACATATATATACATATATATATGTATATGTATACATATATATATATATATATACATATATATATATATGTATACATATATATATATATATATATATATATATATATATATATATAAAGAGAGAGAGAGAGAGAGAGAGAGAGAGAGAGAGAGAGAGAGAGAGAGAGAGAGAGAGAGAGAGAGTCCAGTCTACTGGACTATAAGTTCCATGAGATCAGGGACTTCATTTTATATAATCTTTGGATGGTCCCCAGGGCCTACCCCAGGGCCTGCACAGAGGGTAAGTGCTTAGCAAATGTCTGTTACATTGAATTTGTTGACCACCCCAGGAAGCTAGGAGTCAATAGCAAGGGGAGCTCAGGGTGAACTTGGTCCTGGAGGCTTCCTGGGCAGGGAAGGGAGGCAGTCATCCAAACTGGAAGGCATTGAATGCTCAGGAGCTAAGCCCCAGTGGAAAGTGCACCAGTGAGAGAGAGAGCAAACAGCATCCAAAGGGTTAACTTAGGGAGAAGGGATAACTATATGTCCATTAATAGGCGGCTGTACGTGGTGAAAGGAGGAGGGGAGGAGAGGCAGAGTTCAAAATGCCAAGTGATGAGTGAAATGGAGGGAAAGGAAGTTCCAGCTAGCACGAGGAGCCTTTCCCTTCTTCTACCCTCCTCTCTCCTGCCAATGGAGGTTTCAAAAGTGATAGGTAAGAGGGGGGGTCATTTGAAATTTGATGTGGACAAAGCACCAACTCATTCCATTGGACAAGGGGGGATAGAATCATGGCACTTGAGATGAGGGAAATCAATTCTAGAGAACTGGGGGACTTGCCTTATGTCATATAACTAGAGGCAGATCTGGGCGTAGAACCCATGACACCATGTGAGGTACAGAACTAGGCCAAGCAAGCTAGGGCCTTCCTCATCACTTTCCTTTGGACACAGGACAGCAGTTCCAAGACCACCATCTCAGGCTGAGCCCTGCCTCTCTGCAGCTCCCATTCTCCAGGGGCTTGGTTGCCAGTGGGGACACTGGCATCTTAACTGTAAAATCTTCCCCACGTTACTGCCTCTGGGCGGATGGAGAACCCATAGCTGACACACATTCTGACTGTAATCTTTGCTTTCCTACTTGGAGCTTAATAAAACTTAATCTGAAATGGGAGGCAACTGAATTCAGAAACAAGAGAATTAAAAGACTGAAAAAGGTAGCCTGGAATTTCACAGAATCTAAGAGATGGAAGGGACCTCAGAGGCCATTCCTGTCCTCTGCAACACCCCTAACAGAGGTCAGCCAGTTCTGTTTGAACATCTCCACTGACAGGAGCTCACTACCTGTTCTCTTTTTGGACAGCTCTAATTGCTGGGAAATTTCTCCTTCCACTGAGTTTAAATCTGCTTCCATGTAACATATACCTCTCATTCCTCGTTCTCTCCTCTGGAGCTAAGCAGAACACATCTGATCTCTATTCCTAAGGATGGCCCTTTGAACGCTTGAAGACTTAATACCCTCTAAGATCTCTTTTTCATGGACAAAGAGAATGAGGGTGGTACATTTGGCCTACTCCCACCCAGCCTTTCTGAAAGCCCTGGGCGTTTATTCAAAGGGTCACCTAGTATTAACTTTCCAACAATTCAAGGATCTTGGTAAAAATTCCAGCTAGGAGAAGTTTATTTTTAGTGCTATTAAATCCTCTCTCCTCATCTCCTTGCCTTCCTAACCCAGATGCCTCATTATGTACCCTGATACCCAACAGCCTCCCACTCTGCACAGAAGGACATCTGGACCACCTCTCTTTCTCATCATAATGTCCTTATCATAACGTCCTCATTCCTTATAATGTCCCTCCTCACTGCCATCATAAAGTCCTCATTCTTGGAGGTGAACTAATAGAGTTAATGGATGATAATAGCTTTTCATATCTCTCTTTGCCTCAAATAATAAAGGTGCATTTCAATTTGAAACGCCAACACATTAATTTGAAATGCCAACGCGTTAATCTAAAGGAGCAGGCAACATGGGAGATTCAGCCCCCGGGCAGGCTGGTTAGGTAGGGCTACTTGGAAAAACACACACACACGCGCACACACACACACACACACACACACACACACACACATATTAATACCTTCTCATGAAACTTGCTTCCATGTGTCCCTTACACTGCTTTTATCATAACACCTCCCCACCCCCCAATCCATAATTCCCTTTTCAATATAAGACAGCTCCTTTTTCTTTGAAAATGTCTTACAGGCTACAATTCACACTCCCTTTCCCAGATAAGATGGAGAGACAGTCACAGCCTGAGCTTTGTGGAGCGGCACCTCAAGCCCCTGGGAATCTCTTGGAGTTTATGCACACACTCAGCATGTGTGTCTGAGTGGGTTTTCCTAGAACAATCAGAGGGTGGAGGTCAGGGGTAGAAGAACCCGGCTGAGCTGCAACATTTGTCCACGGCTCATATTCTCACTCAATTTTCAGGCTTTATCTAGGCGGAGAGCCTGTAGGTAACATGGGTGTTAGAACTGAAGCCAGCAGAGAGGCCCATTTGGAGAGAAGACAGCTCCAGCCCACAGATCACATCACTGGTACCTCCAGGCTGAATGACTTGGCCTGGTCTAACATTCCTGGCTAGTCCCTCCTGTTCCAGGACAGGAAGTGACCGGGCATGGCGGGTGGAGTTTAGTTAGCAGCTCAGGCTCCTCCCTCCGGGATTCATTCTTCCCAGAGGCCTCTGGGCTGCTCAGTGGGTAGGACTCCTTGGACCCTCCCTTCCCAGAACAGGTCAGGAAGCCAAAGCAAGAATTGCGCAACCTGGCCAAGTCCCTATGGGTGTTCTCACTCACAAAACAGTATAGTACCGGGTCAGCCACACAGTTGAAACTAGTCAGGAGAAGGGAGAAGTGGTAGATATTGAAGATCCCCTTGGCAAACTCACAGTTAACTTCCCACAGGCTGCGCACAACCAGCAGGACATGGTAGGGCAGAAAGCAGGCCAGGAAAATAATCATGGTACTCAACACTAGTCTCTGGATTTGGTCTTTTCTGTTCTTCTGAGTGCCGTGGCTTCTCTGCACAGCCCTCAGGATGCCCCAGTAGGAGAAGAAGAGCAGGCAAATGGGAAAGAGGAAACCCACCGAGAACCGGTAATAATTGATGTTCCGCTGCCACGCCTCGATGGGATAGTGCTCAAAGCAGACCCGATGTCGGTCCTCATCCTCCACCACCTCATTATTCATGAAGAAAATGACACCGGCCAGGAGCTCCTTGACCCAGATCACCACGCTGACCCCGGCAGCAGCCTTCACGGTGCGGAATTGGTGGAAGCGGAAAGGGTGGGCCACTGCCAGGTACCTGTCGATGGAAATGCAGCAGAGAAAGCCCACGCTGATGTAAATGTTCTCGTAGAGGAGAATGCCGCAGATCTTACAGGACAGGTCTCCATGGGGCCAGTCATCATGCTGCAGAACATACTGGAGCCAGAAGGGCAGGGAGCAGATGTAGAGGAGGTCAGCCACTGTCAGGTTGCAGAGGTAGACCCCCAGTTCGTTCTTGGCCTTGATCTGCAGATAACCGTAGTAGAGAGAGAGGCAATTGGCTGGGAAACCCACCACCAACACTAAAACATATATCACTGGAGCCAGAGTCTGGTGAATGGTATGGTCGATGGTGCAGTTGTTGGAGAGATTGCCTGCTGTAATGTTCCCCATCTTCTGGACCAAAGAAGACTTTGCCCTTCAAGGAGTTAAAAGATAGTCTACCTTTCTCAGTCCCATTTTGTTTCTGGGGACTTGGAGTTTGGGGTCCATGCTACCCCCAGGTCACGGCCAAAGGGTTGTGGTTGTTGTTATCGCTGGAACATATATCCCTAAAAGCCAAACACAGAAAAGTCCTTAGAAGGGTTAGCATTTGATGTTCTCCAAAGCATCTAGATCAGTAAAGATACTTGGGTGTTTATCTCTCCTCCAACCTGAAGACACTAAAATGTGACCTGCCAATTGCTGTCCCTTCTCTCTCCTGCCTTGGCTCTGGCAGTCTGTGATTCTCCACTGGGATGTGGGAAGCAGATATCACTGCCAGAGAATCTCCAGGGCTGAACCTGGCTTTCATACACAGGTTCAACAACGGGTTCAAAGAGTAAAAATAAGTACAAAGACATTTATACATATTTTTGGTGGAGCTATGAACTGGTCTTGCCCATTCTGGAAAGCAATTTGAAACCATGCTCCAAAAGTTATTAAATTGTGCTTACCTTTTGATCTAGAAATACCTTTACTGGCTCTATACTTTGAAGAGACCAAAGAAAGAGGGGAAAGGACCAATACATACAAAAATATCTATAGTGTTCTTTTGTAGTGTCAAAGAACTTTCCATTCATTGGGGAACAGTTGAACAAATTATGGCACATGAATGTGGTGGAATACTATTTCATAGAAACTTAGGAAGACTTGTATGAGCTGATACAGAGTGAAGTGAGCAGAACCAGGAGAACAATTTATATAATAAAAACAATATTGTAAAGGCAAACAACTCTGAAAGACACTGGGGCTCTGGTGCCCAACCATCATTCCACAGGATTTATGATGAAGCATGCTGTCTACCTCCTGACAGAGAGGTGATGGATTCAAGGTAGAGAATGAGCAATACCTTTTTAGGCACTGTAAATTTGGGATTTGTTTGGCTTGATTATGCATATTTATTACCGATGTTTTGTTTTTCTTTTTGTCTCAGTTCAGAAGTGGGGAAGGCAGAAAGAGGGGAACTAGGGATAGAATTGTTTCCCCCCCCAAAAAAAATGGAAAACAGAAATAGAAACTTTTTTTTTGAAATGCACAGAAGATAACAGAAGGAAAGCCAGAAGGAATCACAGGCAAGAAGGGCAGATTTGAAAGTAACATGGTAAATTTGTCATATACTTAAAGAGAAAAGCAGGCTGTATGTAACAGATGCACAGCTTCGTGTATAACCCTCTCTTTCTACTCTACTGTGTATATTAAAACACTCACTTTAGTTGAGCTAAAGTTCAGAACTTTTTTAAAATCTAAAAAAAAAAATAAAAATAAGCAAAAATAAAATAGAGAAAGATAATTATACTTAACAAAAATTTCATGACAAGTGTTAAGGTTAGTGACAAGCATTAAGTTTCATGAACTTACAGGAATCAATTAAGCCATTAAAAACCAAGTTTGTCATCATCACTCTCTAACTCTTCTCAGGATAGCCCCAGAAGTGGCTTAAATCTTGATAAACATCTTCATGGATTGAGGCCTCTCTTTGGTGATACTCATTAGGTTCCCCATGGAGAGAGTACTAGGTTTGGAGTTGGAGTAGCTGAATTTCATATCTGGTCTGTTACTTATTACTTGTGGAAATCACTTCACTTTTTTAGATCTGTTTCCTCAGTTGTAAAATGAGGGGGTTGGGCTAGATTGCCTCTAAATTCTCTTTCAGAGCTGTGATCTTATGATTTTATATGAACTTGGGAACTGACCATCCATTAGTCATTACTTTCCTCTGTCTCTGTTGAGTAGGAAATGCAATTTTTTCAAACTGGAAGTTGTCATTTTTCTCATAATATTCATTGTTGATATTTTGAGTTCTAAATTTTTTCCCTGACTTCAGCCCTTCCCCCACTGATTGAGAAGGCAAGCAATATGATACCCATTGTATGTATGAACTCATCAAAATACACTTCTGTATTAGCCATGTTGCAAAAATAAGAAATAAGAACTTAAAAAGTGCAAAAAAAATATGCTTCAATCTATACTCAGAGTTCATCAGTTCTTGCTGAAGGTGGGTAGCATTTCTCATCATGAGTCCTTTGGAATGGTCACGGATCATTGTGTTGATCAGAGTAGCTAAATCTTTCACAGTTGATTATTGTTACTGTGTGTAATGTTCTTCTGGTTCTGCTCATTTCACTCTGTATCAGTTCATGTAAGTCTTCCCAGGTTTTTCTGAAACCATTTTCTTCATCATTTCTTATAGCACAGTAGTACTCCATTCCCCAATTGATGGCCATCCCTATAATTTCTAATTCTTTGCCACTACAAAAAGAGCTACTACAAATATTTTTGTACATATGAGTCCTTTTCCCTTTTCTTCAATCTCTTTGGGATACAGACCTAGTAGTAGTGCTAGTTCAAAAGATATGCATGGTTTTATAGCCCTTTGGCCATAGTACCAAATTGTTCTCCAGAATGGTTGGACCAGTTCACTACTCCTCCAACAGTGCATTAGTGTCCCTATTTTTCCACATACCCTCCAGCATTTATCATTTTCCTTGTCTGTCATATTAACCACTTTGATAGGTGTGAGATAGTACCTCAGCATTGTTTTTTCTCATCAAAGATACCAAGGGCATTGGAAACATCTTTACTCCTGGCTCTACTCTGTGGACTTTTCCGCTTCCTCCTCATCAGCCTTTGCCCTGTGGCCCTGTCCTCTGACTGGTGAGTCTTTGGCTCAGACCACCATTTCGAGAGGTTCCCAGGCCATGATCCTGGCTCTTCTCCAGACTCAAAGCTTTTCTAACTCCTCCCCAGCAGTCTTAGTACCTTTTCAGGTAACCTTATAGCTCTCCTCCAACACATATACTTTCTATCAGTCTTTTATGTATCCTTCTCCCGTTAGAATGTAATCCAACACATATACTTTCTATCAGTCTTTTATGTATCCTTCTCCCGTTAGAATGTAAGATCCTTGGTCTTACATTGGTCTTTTTTGCTTGTATTTAAATTCCTGGCACTTAGTGTATTGCTTGGCACACAGTAAGCACTTAATAAATGTTCTATCTATCAATCTATTTGAAGGCTTGAGAATTCTCTAAAGTATTAAATGTCAGCTGATGCCCTTTCTGTTTAGAAAAGAAGTCCCAGAGTGGCTGAGCAAGAGGCCATCAGCCATGATCCTAACTAGAAGTCACGTGATCATTTCAGGTCTTGATTTCCCCCTCTGGAATATAGGAACATTGTCAGTACAACCGTGACAAAGAGGGAAGGGATCAAGCGTTTGTTAAGTATTCAATTAAGTGCCAGGCACTGTGCCAAGTGGGCAGTTAGGTGGCAAAGTGAATAGAGAGCCAGGCCTGGAGTCAGGAAGATGAGTCTTCCTGAGTTCAAATCTGGCCTCAGACACTAGCTAGTTTTATGACCCTGGGCAAGTCACTTAACCTTGTTTGCCTCAGTTTCCTTATGTGTAAAATGAACTGGAGAAGGCAATGGAAAACCACTCCAGTAACTTTGCCAAGAAGACCCCAGAAGGGGTCATGAAGAGTCTGACATGACTGAAAAACAACAAAAACTATGCTAAGTGCCTTATAAATCTTATTTCATTTGATTTTCACAACAACTCTGGGAAGTAGGGGCTATTACTATCCCCATTTTACAGCTGAAGAAACTGAGACAAACAGAGGTTAATTAACTTACCCAGAATTACACAGCTAAGAAGTGTTCAAGGCCAAATTTGAACTCAGGTCTTCCTGACCCCAGGCCCAGCCCTGTGGAATCCATCACAAAGAAGGTAAGAGTATAGTATATCCTGGACCCTGTTGGAAGGGACATAAATCCTACATTATGTTTTAAAGTCCTTTGGCCTAGATACTGAGGCTCAATTAAACTTCCTCCTCCCAAGACTCTCATTAAGTAAGTGGTCAAATGCAGTGTGGTCCTTTAGGGTCCTTTAGCGGGCCTTCGGTAACATGAACGTTCATATTTCCACTTGAGTCTTTGCTGGAAATAATCTGGCAATAACATGGAACAAAAACCAGATATCATCTAAAGCATGGTCCTTCTTGGGGGGAAGACAGGGGACCTAGTCAGTGGGAGCAGGTGAGAGAAATGTTTTTCCTTTGGGTTCTGCAGGTGCTCCAGGTGCTTCTGGCCTCCAGCTTTGGGAGAGAAGATGGACGATGCCAATCCCAGGTTTCTGGAGGGAAAATCAGACTCTGGAAGAAACTGACATGAAAGGAACTAACATCTTGTCCCTATCCCCAGCCTGACGTACTAAAGACCACAGGGCATTTTCTGTTCTGTGATATCTGGGACTCTCTTTTGGGACGTGGGAAGTAATAAAAGCGCTTGGTGAACCGCTGCAATGGGAATATCCTGCATTTCTTAGGAGCAAGAGAAGGAATTAGAATGAAGTAAGGCACTAGAAGGAAATATAAAAACCTCCACTGACTGCTGGATGCTTGGAGCAATGGGGCAGGGATTTAATTAAATTTAAATATCTGCATAACTTGAAAGTTAAATAAAAGTCTCTATTTGTTTCAGCCTTCATTATAAAAATAATACCTCACATTTCTACTTCAACTCTAGCATTCTTTCTATTTGTAGCATGATGCCCCTTATAATATTGAGACTCTTTATAAAATGTAAGAATCCAGTTTTTTTAAAACAAAGAAACCCATTTATCCAAGTCAATAACAAATCAAAAATCAGAGAAAATATATGTAATAGAATATATACCAGACTGTAAAGGCAGCTAGATGGCATGGTGAATAAAGTGCCAGGCCTGGAGTCAGAAAGACTTATCTTCTTGAGTTCAAATCCGGCCTCAGATACTTCCTAGCTGTGTGACCGTGGGCAAGTCACTTAACCCTGTTTGCCTCAGTTTCCTCATCTGTAAAATGACCTGAAGAAGGAAACAGTAAACCACCCCAGTATCTTTCCCAAGAAAACCCCAAATGGGGTTATGAAGAGTCAGACACAACTAAAACAACTGAACAACAATACTTACTAGCTGTGTGACCCTGGGCAAGTCACTTAACCCTGTTTGCCTCAGTTTCCTCATCTGTAAAATGAGCTGAAGAAGGAAATGGCAAACCACTTTGCCAAGAAAATCTCAAATAGGGTCATTAAGAATCCG